AAAAAAAAAAAAAAAAAAAAAAAAAAAAAAAAAAAAAAAGAGAGAAACTATGTATAGACTTCCCTCTATATTTCTCAGCAGGACAGGAACTTTTTGCTTTTCTCCCCTAAATTGTTATTAAAAGTTGAGCTATTCTGTAAGAGTAACTCAGCATCTTGTGGCTGATTGAGCAAAAAAAAAAAAAAAAAAAAAAAAAAAAATATTATTACATTGGTTTCCATCTCCTCTATTTCGAGAGTGAGATCATCAACATGTACAAGAAGGACTTCCCTGCTGTGTATGTACTTCCAAACTTAGCCCTTGGCTCTATCACTTTTTTCTTAATCTGCAGTACTTCTGAAGGAATCATAGGGCGCTTCTCCAGGGGTTTAACTCTGCAGGTGTATTTTCTTATCAATTTTCATCAGTACTTTTAATCCTGTGGGTGAAACCTAGAAAGTAAAATCATTTTCCTTAAGTGTGTTCATTCAATGTGTGTTCAATTGAATGTTCAAGTCAGTTTTGTAGAGTAGACCTTTAAGATTGCCAGTTATTTTGCTGTGATAACAATTAGACTTGGATATCGATTAGTAATATATCACTGTTACTTTAACTGTCAGGAAAAGGATAGTTGATCCCAGACACTCAACTACAGCAATGTCACAGATAAATTGTATCTGAATACTTGTGTCCCTGACATAAAAGAAATCTTAGAGTGAGATCAGAAGTGCCACAAGGGGAATAAATGTTGGGGATCTCTTTAAAAAGGCTTGCAATCAAGGTAATGTTCTCTGTGCCAATGATGACATGGTCCACAGGAATATACAGCTGACTGCTTTCTGGGATTCAAAAGAGTATTTGCTGAGGGTTTATGCTGTTTCACAAAGTCCTCAACAGTGAGCAATTCTCCAGTTGCTTTAAAAAATAGCTTTTTAGAATCTCAAGTTCACCAGGGGGAAAAAGAAAAAAAAAAAAAAAAAAAAAAAAAAAAAAAAAAAAAAAAAAAAAAACACACACAAAAAACCAACTGATTGCTGATTGTAGCAAGTTAATACAAGTGGTCTTCTACTAGAAATTCATAGTTTATAGCATCTTTATGATGACAAAAGAAACTTTTTCTGAACAGATAGTGGACACTCTTATTTTGCCTGTGGCATGAAAGATTTCTCTGAGATGTTTGAATGTCCATTATAATTTTCAAGGTGGGTTTCTAACAGATAAAAGCCATCCACTGTTTAAATATCCCAATACTTGTCCCTATATATATATATTTTTTTTTTTATATTATATATATATATTAATATATATATTAAAGAAAAAAAAAAAGTTTAGATTGATTTAAAAGAAGCATTGAAGCAAAAAGATTGTTGTGAATGACACATGAATGTTTAAAGCCAATTCAGTCCTTCCCACGTTCATATTTTATCCCTTTACTCTGGTTTTCATCTCTTTTTAAAGTGAGTTACAGAAGTCTGCTAGTTGTCATTTTGTGTTATAATGTTGCTAGAGACACAGATTTGTAGGATACAATATTCATATCTATTGCAATCATTTACACTCTTTGGTATTTAAAAATAAATCTATAAATATAATGAACATACTTCCACTGCTAGTATGGATTTCCTACATCATGTTTTTAAATTTGAAAATTCATCTGAAATCTTGGTTTTCTTTTTTCTCTATGCTTTATATTTTGAAATAAGTGTATGAATTCGATGTCACTCTATTTTTGAACTTAATATCATTTTATTTAACACAGTATTATTTGACACAATTCAAAAGTTATGTTCAAAATTAGGAAGCATATACTGTTAGATTAAAATTCATGCTCCAGTTCTTGTCAACAATCCAATTTTTGTCAACAACAGGAAGTGTTTTGGAAGTTGTTTCATAAAACTGAGATATTAGCATTGCTCCCTGCAACCTCTTTTTTTTTTTTTTTTTTTTTTTTTTTTTTTTTCCTACAGAAGTTGAAACTGTGTGTAAAAGAAAAAGGAGAGAGACCATGTCAGTATACAAAGTGGGAATCGAATGCAAATGATGGGGAAAAGTAGTCCCTCATGAGCAGTTTTGCTGAATAGAAATGTAAACATGCTCAGATTACACAGACTATTCAATCTCAATAGGATGAAAATGTGTGTGTACATACCTGTATTTTGTTTTATGTTTCTAACTGAGTAGCTATGGGAACCTGAAACTGAAGTGCAAACTGGTGGTGAGGGAAGAAACTTGAGTTTTAGCAACTGGAACCTCATTTTAATGCTGCTGTAGAGAAAGTATGCTGAAGAAACAGCATGAGAAACAATCTTAGCAACTGTACTTAGCTGTTGGTAAAACTGTTAAT